TTTTGGAATTTTCAAATGATTGTACTCATATTTTTGGGATCTTGTTTAATATCATTCAAATCATTTATGACTAGGCAGAATAACTTCAATATCACTTGTTTTTCTTATGACATCATTTCCCGTGTGAAATCAAAAGTTATTTATTTAATAAAGAATGCCTGAATATTTGATAAGTTGAAGATGACATGACAAATCGTCGTTAACTTCATTCGTCATCTGTGCAACACACGAGTTCAAATGAGAAGACATTTTAACGTGTGAAATGAGAATTAATCTTAGCCGTCCAAAGTGTCGATCTGATGCACAATAACTCCTATCTGATGCACAATAACCCCTATCTGATGCACTTTCGAATAGACCTTATTTGATGCCCTTTTCGAAAAGACCTTATTGTGCATCAGATCGACACTTTGGACGGTTGAGATTAATTCTCATTTTACACGTCATGATTTTTTTATTTGATCCAAATTATATATATATATATATATATATATATATATATATATATATATATATATATATATATATATATATATATATATATATAAATTCTGGTAAATGACCCCCGGCATTTACCCCACTGATTTTGGTGGTTGGCCTTCCGGGGTAAAAATATATATATATATATATATATATATATATATATATATATATATATATATATACACATACATACATACATACATACATACATACATACATACATGCATACATACATACATACATACATACATACATACATACATACATACATACATACACACACACACACACATATATATATATAGATTTAGGATCAGATACAAACTAATCCTAATTTACAAAGTACAAATTAATCATGACCATCCATATGAATGAGATAACGGTGTAGATTGGAATGCTCCCCCACTAACTCTTGGTCCCCATGTAGTGCTTGGAAGGCAAAAAAATCTCCAACTAATACGGATGAGGTTTAGTGGTCAAACCAAATCTCACCATTGATTCTGTAATGTTGAATGGATGAGATGAATTTGCATTTTGTATGGGAAGCATACTTTGTATACGATCTTAACCCTACACACACACACACACACACATACTTCCTCCGTTCTTTAATTCTTGCAACATTGTGATATTTGTACTATTCACATACTCATTTTGACAATGATTAACTACTAATATATATAATCAAATTATTATGTATAAAGTGTTATTGAATTCCTATCATTGTGAATTTTCAAAATATTAACCTTTTATAATGTTTACTAATACATAATTAAATATAATTACAATCAAAGTTGTGTGTTGGCAAACACGAAAATCAAACTGTTGCAAGAATTAAAGAACAGAGGATAGTAACTAATAAAAATATATACATACTCCCTATATCTTAGTAATAAGAATAATCTGCTAGAAAGAAATAAGGATTCAAAATGAGTGGTTTTGCTCGAAGCTTTAGTTTCAATGAAAGGATTTTTTTTTGTAGCGACATGCCTGGTTTTGACTTTTGATGATACATCTACCCGCGCGTAAAATATAGAAAAATTCTTCTGGTCCTCCTCCTCCTCCTCCTCCTCCTCCTCCTCCTCCTCCTCCTCCTCCTCCTCCTCCTCCTTTCCTTCTTCTTCTTCTTTCCTTCTCTTAGGTTTTATTCACCCTAATCATCTTCATTATCTTCATCACCATCTTCTTCTTTTTCTTTCCTTCTCACTTTTTACGTTTTATCCACACCAACACTGGTTTGCTATAGTGTCTGTGCACACAGACGAAAATTGTATATATACAGACATTTTTTTCTATACAAGACAACTAACGTCTGTGTACACCGACACTTGTTTTCCAACTAATTTTTCACATCGACACTTTTTTTGTCTACATAGACAACTAACGTCTGTGTACACCGACACTTGTTTTACAACTAATTTTTTCACACCGACACTTTTTTGTCTACACAGACAACTAACGTCTGTGTACACCGACACTTTTTTTCCAACTAATTTTTTCACACTGACACTTTTTTGTCTAGACAGACAACTAGCGTATGTGTACACCGACACTTGTTTTCGAATTAATTTTTCACACCGACACTTTTTGTTTACACAGACAACTAATATCTGTGTACACCGACATTGGTTTCCGTGCAACCAGCTTGACAGATCTACAAACTAATTTACTCACACTGGCACTTTCAATGAAAGTGTCTGTATTTGTGTGTTTTTTGTCTGTGAGAAGGGCAAATAAATGGGTGTACCCCAGGGTGTAACCCAGGGTGTACACCAAGAACTATTGTAAAATATAATGCTCTATAATAACATCATATTCCTTTTAATAATATACATAATATATTTCACTTTATTAACATGTATTCCGTAGTATATTTCTCAATCGGGTTGACAATTCCTACAAAAAATACTGGATTGACAATTGGCGAGGATTGTCAAAATTGATTTGACAGGGTATGTCAAATCCGTGACAAAAGCAATTTGGCAAGAAATCGTCACGTGTTTAATCCGTGTTAATCCTGTAATTTTTATTGTAGTGAATCCTATTATTAATTTGAATTTGTATTAATCAAATTATTAGTATTCTTCACTTTATTTAAAATCTATAGAATCAAAATTATTTTAAAGCTAGTTTATCTACATATGAAATTGTCTCATTTCATTTTTTTTAAATTTGAAGATTCAATTTTGAAAGTGGAAGAAGAGGCGTTATTGGTTCTTAATGATCCCTTTTGCGGATTGTCTCTCACCAATTTGTGGGTGCGATGAGGAGTGTGGTTGCGTGCAAGAATAGTGGCTGTCCTGAGGGTGGCGGATGCCTCAAACGTAACCGCCAAATCAATTTTAATTGGTGTTGTGCGCCAAATCCAGGGGAGGATCTATGTAGGATCTGATAGGTTGAAACCGTAACAATCGAGATTTTTTTTTAAAATTTTTTTAGTGTATTTTTTTTAATTTTTCACATTTAGTCCACTTCTTTAATATTTAAAACTAGTATAATGTCTATTCAGCCCAGATTATTTCAGAGTTTAGGATCCGCCCTTGCCAAATCATTAATTTAAGGATCGAATTTAGAGAAGGCAAGGGAAAATCTGTCTTCTTTGATGATCTATGTTTTGATGAAGTTCTCAAATTTGAAGTTTGTTTGATGAAACTCAAATGATTTGTAGGAGTATTAAATTAGTGAAATTATGATTGATTTGAATGAATTTGTTCTAATTCATAAAATTAGTTATGAAGTTTCATAAAATTAGTTTGATGGTTTCGACGCGGTCTCATTTAATTTCGATACGATAAAAAAAATTAGTTCGATAACCAAACCATACTAATTTAGCCATCCCTGGTTAACGGCTCGAACATGTAATAGCCTAAGAACAGCGCGGCACGGCCAATGTAGACCGATTCCTCCGGAGTCCGGACTCCGGAACATTCTGCAGCGGCTATCACTATATTCTTCTCCGTCATGGCAGTACGACACATTGGATACTCCGGCTCAATTCACTGTTATCCCAGATGATTTGAGTAGATTTGATGATTATGTTGGGTAGGCCGTAGGCATCAATGGCGGAACCAGCTTAGGGTCCCTGGAGGGGCACTTAATGGGAAAAGCGAAGGTCTCCGAAAGATGTTGCATCCACCATCTAGAATATACTACATATATATTTTATTCTAGAATATAATATCTTGAAAAGTAAATTGAGAAATCACACTTTTAATTACATACAAGATCAAATGAGATTTTCTATGAAACCAAAAGGCAATAAATTAAATATGATTAGTCGATTTGAAGAGAAAGCTACCATAGAAAAATTGTGATTCCTATCCGTGGACTAGAGAGTTTAATGGTACATCACCAAAATTTGAATATATCTATTTAAAGTCATTTTAAATTAATATAGAGCTTTAAAAAGACAGAAGTAAAGCAAAATATACTAAAAATTCAAGTTGGAATTCGATCCTTGGACCTTTAGTTGGTCCAAGAGGATGAATGCAACACCTCCTCCACTCCACTATAGTATCTTTTTGTTAACATAGTGGTTATTAATGTATATCATACATTATTTATAAATATTTACAATTTATAATTTATATTTGATATATATATATATATATATATATATATATATATATATATATATATAATAAAAATAAAAACAACTGCAGGGCTCAAGCACCTCCGAGCCCCTTGCTAGTTCCGCCCCTGGTAGGCATAACATTAATTATCTGCTATATTGATTGGAAAATATTGCTTTGTAATCTGTATATCCTTTGTTGACTTTTACTACTCTTTATATGTGGCCGATCTCTGCAATTTGCACATTTAGTAAATTGCTTGGTAAGTGGTGTTTGAAAGGAATTTTAGAGCCCTTCTAGTAATTCTATTTTCATCTATTTTAGTAATTTAATATAAGTAAAATTGAGTTACTTTTGAAAATTTTCATAATATATTTTTCTTAATTTACAAAATATTTTTTACATATAACCTTTCAGTTTGACAACACAAGTTTCAGCATTTTTTTTCTTGTTTGGAATTACATACGCTGAACTTGCAGAAAACCAAGGTTTTATTTTACAATTTTGGTCATTCCATATGCAGACTCCATTTGAGTCTGTCTTCTTCTCTTAACTTATGCCCTTTCTATTCTTGTATTTGTTGTAATTCACAGATCGAATGAACAAAGAGATTTTGGAGTTTCACTCTTAAATTCCTTCTGCTTAAAGAACAAATTCCTATGTAATATGGTATTTTCATCATTCCATCTACTTTGTAATGCATATATGTACACTTGCAAATTCTTTTGGTTATGTAGGATGTTTTTACTTGGACTGAAATTTTCTGGTCTGGCCTGAACTGATCTGGTCTAAACTAGTCTGGTAAATATCTTGTCTTTGGGTATTTTATAATCCATGTCTAGTCTGGTATGGACTGAAGATAGTCCAAGTAAAAACATCCGTACTCTAAATTGAAGCATATTAGTTAGCCTTGAACTTATGAAACGATTACATAAAATGTGAAGTGGAAATATAAGCTAAAAAGAACACAAATATGCTCGCCATTGTTGTCATGATGCTCCATTGGAATCAGCTGTGTTTGCTTCTTTTGTTTTACCTGAGAATTGAAAAAGAAAACTTAATGCTTAATTTAATTCTTAAATGAATTACAAACTTGTCTTACGTAGGGAGTAAAATGTAGCAGCAGGGATTAGGAGAAATGTAAACTTACAGTCTGATGGTTTCCATCCCAGAACTGACCTTTCACGATCAAACACGAGATGGTAGCCCATCATGAAATTATCTGTACAAATAGATAAGAATAGAGTCACTGCACATGGGTTTTGTTTGTAAATGTTTAAAATGTTTTTCATACAACCATGGTTCAGAAAACATTCAAGACTTGAACTATATCTTACTGGTCAGTGTCTAGCGGTGTTATCATCTGGTCAGTACTACCTTTGTCTCCAAACGCAAGCATAAGGACAATGAGTTGGGTACTAACCCTTTGGATGTTAAAACGGTTGGAACATCCAAAGAAGTGTTAAACCCCAGGCCTAGCAAACCGTTTACTGCACCCTTCTCCAGAATGGTGCCTGTTTCAACCATTCCACACCTAAAACGAAGAAACATACAGTATAATTTATGATCTTATAAAGACTATTTTTATAAGTTTAGACATTTACCTATAATAATAATAGTTCATACATACCCGAATATAACAGGTGCACTACTTGTGGATGATGACTTTGGGCTGTAACTATTGAGAATTTTTGGCTGTTTAGGAGAAAATTAAAGAATATACAAGGATTAATATTTTCCTAGTAATTTGTTTAGCTGTCACTAGTAAAAAGTGATCAGCTACTTTGAAATTCCTGATAAACAGCATATGGATCCGAAACAGAACTTTATTCATACTTGTCCCATGCTTGTCTCATAGAAGTGTGCACAGTCCGTGCAGCCACATGGAAACCAAGATATATCGCTCCCCGTGTCAATTGCGACCATAAATGACACGGGGGGAGTCCCAACTCGTATTTCAGCATAATGGAGGCTGAAATAGAAAAAATGTGACATCAACCATTCATAATTGTGGCACACTGGAACATAATACATAATGGCTAGCTTGAAAATTTGTTTGTTTTGATTATTTCTTTTTTAGTTACTTCGAAACATGGCAACATTTGAGCTATCAGCAGCTGAGCCATTAATGGGGGTGATACAACTGTTAAAAAAATTCAACATATAAAAAAGCTGGGTAGCCAAAGAATGTGTATGAACTCAATTAAACTTACTTTCCCAATTTTTCTATAGCTGTGATGGCATCACCCCCAGCAAAAGTCAGTGCCGGTAAATGATGTGTTGGTGCTCCACCGTGCCCGTGCTGGTCATGAGTTATCCAGGCGGAGTAGTACTCTACCGTCCCTTGTTTTGGCAACCCTTTCCTGCCTAAGGCACTAATGACCTTCTCAGAGTGCCTATGATAAATATTAATTTTGGCCACAATAAAAGAAGCTTGTGATGGCACTGATACTACTAATGTTATTGCAAAAGACATTAGGAATAGTTTAGTAGCCTTACATGCTAAGTAGGAGCTTCAGTTATGAAAAACAGTTTAAGAAGAAGAAATTAATCAATGTTAGAAAGCACAGAAGAGAGAAATAGCTAGCAGTACATAATAAGGCATATGAATATATGATGAGAGGCTAACAAGAGGTGAATTTATAGTGTATTAACTTTTACTCACCTAATTGAAGAGATATGTTTGTAGTGTATAAATTTTACTCGCAGATAAAGGGAGATGCTAAATGTAGCAATTATTCATTCTATATAAAGTAGCGGGTTACAATCTTACCAGATTCAATTTAAGTATGTTTACTGCTAGCTGTAATGAATAATGAGTACTCAATGATAAAAACACAGAGCATACTACTGATTTTACATGCCAGTCATGAATTATATGGAAGTAATGGAATAGTTTGAATGTAAAAGCTCATATGGTAACATTGGAATTGGTTGAATCAGTTGAGTTTGACGAAATTGATGAAGTTCACACTTAAGCGGCTGATCGAATTTGTTGAATTATAGAAAAATTATATTTAAAATATACTCCGTACAAAGTATTTTATTAATTAAATAAAGGAAAAATTATATGAAAATAGCAAAAGTAGTCCTTAACAATAACTTCAACCAATTCAGTCACAAAAGTAACTTTTGTCTTATTTTGATTATTATAGAATTCAACGTATGAAATCATAAGTTACATGTTTGGTAGGAAATGAATAATAAGCCGAAAACAGAGGTCATAAAACAGGCAATTCCAGAATCAAAACCCGGAATTATACCCGCCTAGTTGGTTGCTATTATTATGTTTCTAAGCCATCCCAATTGAATACCCTACCCAAATTCCTGTTATAATTATAGGCGGGATAGTCAATTGGAAGTGCTCATATGTACTTTCACCTAAATATTAAGCCCTCCTATGTTGTAGTGAATGAGTGATCACTTCATCACTTCATCTCTTGGAGATATGGGCTCTTGGAGTACTAGGACACTCATACTAGTTGGCCTTGCTAGAAATATTATACTCCGTATATACATTTGGATATCTTTATATTATAATATAAAGTAACAATCATTGCACAACAATTGTAGGGAAAAATCCCGCCCAAATTAAGGATATATTGGGAAATTATTTTAGAACGTAAATGTAAAATCTTGCCTATTATTAAAAGAAATCATGGAGTACACACATATGAATATTTTATGGTAAGATTGAGCAATTATTGCACATAGATGCTGAGCAAATAATGCATTCATGTATAATATGTACTCCGTATAATGTATAATATACCTTATTTACGTATAAATGTATTATGTATGGTAAGATGGAATTGCTTAGCATTTAATACATTTATTATTCCCTAAGAATCTTTAACAACCGAACGAGGTATATATAATACGTAGTATATTAGAAATTTAGAACAATTAAACTCCAAGTCTCCAACAGTCCGACCTGCTATATATAAAAAGTTTATAAAACAAATTAAACTAAAAATAAAAACATGTAAATTTGAAACCGACATATTAGATCTTCAAACCTGCCATAAAAATTCCCGAAAAATACCAAAAAGGAAGTTATGAACTTTGTTATATTTTTTTTAATGATCGGAGTTCAAATAAAAAAGTTGCACCACTTTAAAAAACTAAAGTTGCACCACTTTGAAACACTAAAGTTGCACCACTTTAATTATTTTTTATTTTTATATGCAATATTAGTGTCATATGAAAGAAAATAAAAAGTTATGAATTTTGATATATTTTCGGAACAATCGGAGTACGAATAAAAAACTTACAACACTGTCAAAAACTGAAGTCTTTTGAAAGTTCTTAATTATTTTTTATTTATATATATATGTATATTGGTGTTATATGAAAGATAATAAAAGTTATGAGTTTTGATATACTTTCTGTAACAATCAGAATATAAATATAAAAGTTGTGCCACTTTAAACAAAATAGGTGTTGATAATTTGGTGTAACCACATTACTTATGCTCATGTTGGTCGAGTTGTTACTTGTTATACATTTGCTAAACCGCCAGTTCAAGCGGCGGTTTTCTTAACTCAAGATTGTCCCAATAGTATTTTCGAAAATACTTTTAACCCAACACTAATTTAGAAATTATTTTTTATTTGACTTTATTTTCCGAAAAAATCTGTTATATTATCTAGTTCTAAGTTACAGAAAATACAAATAAAAATACCAATGAATATAATGATTTGTGTAGTATTTTCTAACACCGCTACCAAAAACAATCATTATATAGTATGTATGTTTTTCAATTCATTTAAGTTTTTAAATCTCATATCAAGCTAAATTAGATTTAAATAATAGACCATATTAGAACATACACAAGACCATATTTAAAAGGGCAAGATCAAACCAGAAAATATATCATTCAAATAAAAAACATCATACCTTAAAAACTCCAATCCAATGAAATACATCCAACAATAAAAAATATATTTATTAGAGATTATATATTTAATTACCCATTAAAATAAGCTATTTTTAATAATATCTATAACAAATAGAGCCTTTTTTGATAGAATGATGCAACAATAACAATAATGTTAATAAAGGAAAAGTATAAAAATTTATCATATGGTTTGGTGCTTACAAGCAGTAATTGACCATTATCGACTTTCTTTGTATATTTTATGTTAACATTAATAAGCTTATCTTCAATTGTTGCTAGCACTTATCCGTCAATTTTGAGGAATAGGTGATCATCATATTTTTAGCATTATTTAACATTAAATTATTTTTTATTTAACATGATTTTGGGAAAAAATATGTTTTATTATCCAATTCTAAATTACAGAAGATACAAATAAAACTACCAATGAATATTATGATTTACATAGTATTTTCTAACATATATGTCAATATAATATAAAACCATTACCAAAAATAATCACTGTATAGTAAGGATGCTTTTCATTGAAATTTTAAATCTCATATCAGGCTAAATTAGACTTAAATAGACCATATTAGAACATACTTAAAAAAATTACACAACATCATTTTTGTGTGTGAAAGAAACAAGATCATATTTAAATGGGCCAAATCAAACCGGAAAATATATCAATCAAATAAAAAACATCATACCTAAAAAATTCCAATCCAATTAAATACATCCTATCAATAAAAATCATATTTGTTAAGAGATTATATATTTAACCCCATTATAATAAGCTATTTTTAATAACGTCCATAACAAAATAAAGCTTTTTTTTATAGAATGATACAACAACGACAACAACAACAACAAGTGTCAACAAGTCAACAACAACAACAATAATAAGGCTAATAAAGGAAAAGTATAAAAATTTATCATATATTTTATGTTAATCTTAAGCTTATCTTCGATCAATTGTTGCTAGCACTTATCCTTCATTTTTGTGGAATGACTAATAGTCATATTTTTAGCAAAGATCAATTTTGACACCCACAAATTATGTTGTAGAGCTTATCAATAAAAATGACAAACCTTTTTAAGCTCTACAACATAATTTGTGCTAAAAATAAGCTCTACAAATCCAAAATCACAGTTAAATCATCACCCACATCCAAATCCAAAATCACAGTCTTACAATCGAAAGAGATAAAATAACAAACAAACACAGACAAATCCAGACCATTAAAATAAATAAAAGCAAAAAAAAAAAACAAATTTCTTCACTCATCCTTCCAAGAATCACCATCGGCGGTTCAGGAGGGAGTCGGATCACCTTCCCTTCATCTTCTTCCTTCATCGCTTTGATATGCCCTTGTGTCGCCTCCAGCCGAAACTCCCTATTCACGAACGAATTGCCGAAAGACGGCACCGCTCCTCGCCAAATGACGATAGCGGACAAATAAAACTCTAGTGGTGAAACCCTAGAGACAGGACGCTAATCCATAAACCCGGAATAAGATTAACGTCAGAAGCTCCGCCACAATCGATCAATTTATAAGAGATCGGCACTGCCCTCCATCGATTAATCTATCTCCTCTCTGAAACCAACGAATTGGACCCAAATTTGGCCCGATAGGGTACAAATCCGCTAATGTGCCAATACTCGGTGGACCGTACAAAACCAGTCCGGAATCAGCACAACCCAAACCCGCAATTTACAATCGACCCAGCCTAAATCGAGAAATGGGTGCAACAAGGAAACAGTCTAAGGTCCTCGTGTATATTAGCTGCTACCAAAATGTTGTTCCATGCTAGTTTTTTTGAAAGGAAATCACATATATTTCTATCATTAGTTTAAATCAAAATTATATCTGACACCAACTAACCTCCATCAACTACCAATGCAAACCCTGCGATTAGATATAGAAACGGTCAACTCAGAAAGTGCAACACGAATCGGGTCTGACATAACTATCACTAGTCATATAGATATGTATACTTCTAACGACATAAAAATAAGTTAAATGTTCAATCATCCCGATAACCTAGCATTAAAGACTAATAAGAAACCAAACAACAAAGTACAATAATCAATAGGATAAATTTCTCGAACCCTAGCACCTCGTTCAACCCATGACAGTGGTTCGGGAGGAGGTCAGGTCATCAGTACCACTGTGATAGACTTTGCATTACCAGCCATAGCCATCTCGTTGTGCTTCCCCACATCTACATACGCAGTCCAATATGTGGATAGCTCGGCCTCCTGCTCCCTCTCTACGCAGCGCCGCGCCGCCACACCACGGCCGCCAGGCCACGTTGAGCCAAGCCGACAGCGCCTCACAGGCCCCCAAAAGATCTTCTGGCCACTATGGATACCACAATTTAGATCTTCATCGCTGCCGTCGGCCTCCCAACATCCAAAAGAAAAGAATCTGATCCACTCTAGCGTTGCCGACATTGAAATGAGCAGCGAAACACCATGGTAGTTGGAACACAATTTCTTTAGCCACTCTTATATCTTATCATATCTAATTACTGAATCATGATTTAAAACTTAAAAAGTGTTGCTAGTAAAAATATACTTCCTCCGTTCCTTTTTAATTGCAACAGTCAACATTTCACGTTTGCCAATGCACAAGTTTGACCATTAATATCTTTTATTCCTTATTAGTAAAAAAATTAAAAAAATCATATTTTGAAAATTTAGAATGAGAAGAATTTAATAATATTTTTTAAAAATTTAATTTATTATACATCAATTAATAAAATGTAGTCAAAGTAGAACATGTGAATAGTGTAAAAAGTCCAATGTTGCAACTAAAAGAGAACGGAGGTAGTAATATTTCTATCATATAGGTTATTATTGAAAGCAAAGCAAAAATAAAAGTAAAAACATGAATATAATATTTACAAATTTTACAAGTGTTCTATTCATATTTATTGTCTCTAATTTCAAGTATATTTTAGAACAAAAGTTTATTTCCCATGATTGTAGTGTGTTATCAATATTAAAATATGAGAAAAAAAATAATTACCACAACATAAAGATGATTTACAAAAATATGATTAGTGACTAGAGTAGTAATGAAATCATAGTAATTCATGTTCAAGTTTTGAGCTTAAGTTACCACAACACCACAGTACATTGTAGTAATGAATAATCATATTTATGGAAATATGTTTTATTTTAGTAATATTATTGTAAAAAAACCCATTTTTATAAGAATATTATTAAAATAAAACTTATTTACATAAATATGACTATTCATTACTACAACGTAGTGTTGTGGTAACTTAAGTTCAAAACTTGAACATGAATTACCATGATTTCATTACTACTCTAGTAACTAGTCATATTTTTGTAAACTATCTTTATTTTGGTCATATTTATGTAATTATTTCAAAAAATAAATTTCTGTTTACAAATTTATTGACACACACATTTTAGATTTTATTTGTCACTACACGGCCTCTAATCTCACGACTCTTCACTTCATCAAGATTAACAGTACCTTAAAGAAATTAAAAAGAAAACTATATTAAGAACATCAAGACCATTACCAAGCTTAAAAAAGCTATGCAAGGAAATTAAGCATCAATTCACGAAGTTGCTTGAAAGACTTTTAAAAATATGAATTTTGTTGTTAATATAAAGCTATAAAACTCCTTTCAAAAAAAATAAATAAAGCTATAAAACTAGAATCTCAATAGATTTGTTGAAATTGGAGAAAAATCTAGAGTATTTCTTCTCATTCCATAGGATAGAAATGGGCTATCAAATCTAAAGAAATTTGCTGGTCTGGTCTGGTCTCATCTGGTATGGTCTGGTAAGGTCTGGTTTCTTTGTATTTTTATAGCCATTCAAGTCTGATCTGGTCTGGTCTTGTCTGAACTGGTTTGGTCTGGTCTGGTCTGGACTGGTCTGGTCTGGGGCAAATTACAGTTCAAGTAAAAACATCCTTAGTACTTCGTATTATATTTTGTACGAATGTACGATATAATCTACTATCGTACAATACAAAAACCCTGTTCATAGACTCATAGTATTAATTCATCAACTATGAACTATCCTATGATTCTTACGGAGTATCAATTAAGAAAGGCGTGAACAATTTTTTTTTTTTACGTTTCAGTCATTTAAGCTTTAAGGTCTTACGTAACAGCTTGCAAACGGCGTGCAAGTGTGCAACTACCTTAGATGGGTCATATGATTTCTTTCTATATACAAATTAACTTATGTAAATTATTACTTCATGGATTTACTTCTGTTTTCAAATTAACTTGCAATTACCTTGCAATTACTTCTGTTTTCAAATTAATTTATTTTACAACATTCTCATGGATTTTCTGTAAATTAGACCAGAATTGGAGATTTTTCCCGAAATAATGCTAATTAAATAAATAATTCCCAAAATACTGTTGGGTTAAAAATAATTCTCAAAATACTGCTGGGTCAACCGTTGTTAAGAAAAGCCGCCACTTGAAGTGGTGGCTCTTCTCTTACAGTACAAAAGCCGCAACTTCAAGTGGCGGCTCTTCTCTTACAGCACATTTTGTACATATATAAAACGCAGTATGTTTCAAGAATTTTTTTAACTATCTTCCCGATTGAATTTTGAGCTGAAATTTTGTATGAATAAACTAGACTTGATGAGGAACATGCTCAAAAACATTTCATCAAAAAATTCCATTGGGAAGACCGTCTGATGGTGTTGTCTGAACGGGGGTTCCGGTCAGGACGTCGTGACAGGAATATGACATTTTTATGAAATTTGAGGTGCTTCCGAGTTGATTTTTTTGATAACATTTGGTGATCATGTTCTTCCTAAAGTGTAGGTTATATTCACCAAATTTCAGATTAAATTAAATCAAGAGGTTAGTTAAATTATTTATTGAAAAAACATGCATTTTTAGGCCTAAAAAATTGTGCAAATTTTCAAAAATTTGTTTAACTAACTTCCCAATTGAAAGGAACCAACTGCAGATTCGAGCTATCACCGCCATCATTATGCCCTTAACAAACAATTCTTTCTCTTCCACTTGCTAAATAATATGAACTCTATTTGGGCAGTTTATGGCCATTGGAAGCAGTTTCAACACTTGAGCTCTAAGTTCCAATTGCAGAATCACAGTTTTGCTCAATTCACTTGAGCTCATGTTTGGAAGGCAATAGTAAATTCAAGTTCTATAATCTAGAGAAACATATGTAATCGTACAACATACAAACTATTGATAGAAATGCTCAAAGTAATGTAAAAATGGAAATGTATATCATATATAACACTTGCAGCTAAAACATGATGACTTATGGGCAAATTATCAACAAATATGAAACCATAAGAAATTATAAAATATTGCTTCCGGGAAATAACATACCAAACGGTTTAGTTGCATAATTTCTAAAATTTTCTTGGCAAAAATTTTGTCCCGTGCCTTTTGAAAATGTTCATGTAAAGTAGGTCTAAAAGTTGCAATTTTAGGCCTATTTTATTTGAGCTATTTCCGGGTCGAATTTGTTGATAAAATTTGGTGAGCATGTTCTCATGTAATGTAGATATGTCCACCAAATTTTAGATTGAAATTCAATCGGGAAGTTAGTTAAATAAATTTTTAAAAATTGCATAATTTTTTTGGCCTAAAAATGCAGCTTTTTTAATAAATTATTTAACTAACTTCTTGATTTAATTTTAATCTGAAATTCGGTCGACATAACTTACACTTGAGGATGAACACGATCACCAAATTTTATCAAAAAGCTTGACTCAGAAGCCCCTCAATTTTCATAAAAATGTCTCATTCCTGTCACAACGTCCTGACCGGAACCCCCGTGCGGACAACACCATCAGAGGATCTTCCTGGTGAAATTTTTTTATGAATTTTTTTGAGCATTTCCTCATCAAGTCTAGTTTATTCATACTAAATTTCAGCTCAAAACTCAATCGGGAAGATAGTTAAAAAAAATCTTGAAACATACTGCATTTTATATATGTACAAAATGTGCTGTAAGAGAAGAGCCGCCACTTGAAGTGGCGGCTTTTGTACTTTAAGAGAAGAGCCGCCACTTCAAGTGGCGGCTTTTCTTAAACACAGTTAACCCAACAGTATTTTGGGAATTATTTTTAACCCAACAGTATTTTGGGAATTATTTAATTAATTAACATTATTTCGGGAAAAAACTCACAGAATTGACTAATATAAAATTCATTCGGATGGACCAATTTTAAAATAATTGTTAAGTAACAAATTTAAGTTAATAAGATAGACACAATTCTCTAAATATAACTAAAACATTGACTAAGTTTATAAGTAGAATTATCAATGTTTTACTCCCAAAACAAGACTCATCCAATGATATTTCTGTAAGTTTATCAAGTTATTCTCGTAATACGACTAAATAAGTATTTGGAGAATAAAACATATTTAGTCCTAGTTATGAACTACGTAGTATGTGTATGTTTTAATTCTATATTTAGCAATTTCTAAATAAGAGATTAGGAAATGACTATTGTGAATAAGCACATATATAGCAATTTCTAAAAAACATTAAAAAGGTTCACGTAGTCCGAACTCTTGAACTCTATGATTCTAAAAAAAATCTTGAACTGATGTGCAAAATAATTCTATGCACATTATAATATTATACTCCGTATGCCCCTTCTTATATACTTGAAATAGTAAAATGGTAGAACCAATTTTAGGACAACTTTTACGTTTGTATATTAGCCATTTGTGACTATGTATACCAGCAATAATTGGGCATCTATCTACTACTCATTGAAGTGCGTGCATAAGGATGATAATGGAGTACTCCATTGAATAAACTGATATATAAGTTGGAATCTCATAAGACTCAGCAAGTGAGGATTAACTTGTTTCTTTGCCTTCTTAGGGTTTGCTGATTTTTCTTGATGATGATGTGCATTCAGATCACTTTCAAGTTTCAACCATTCGGTTTTATCAATGAAATGGTGTACTTCATAGTTGCATCAATCGTGAACCACACAAAGTAAAATAATAATGGAATTTTGATTGAAATGTTTTAAATGGTTGAATCTACTTAAATATAGAAAACCATACTGAGTATTTAATTTTTTATTAAGAAAATTAAGAAAGAATTCTATGAAGAGATAGTTCAAATAAATAGTCTTCTAAAGTAACTTAAAACAAAGGAAAAGATCCTGTCCAACCGGAGGGACAGGGTCCTTCGTCTGGCCGCCGCCTTTTGGGCTGGTTCCCGGTGGAGGTTTTTGAAGAAATTTTTAGGAAATGTTCCTCATCAAGTCTAGTTTATCCACAAAATATTTCAGTTAAAAACTCGATCAGGAAGGCAGTCAAATAAATTTTTGAAGATAACTGCATTTTATATGTTTAGTTTGGGGCAGTTATCTTCAAAAAATTATTTGAATGCCTTCCCGATCAAAGTTTTAGCTGAAAGATTTTTGAGATAAGCTAGACTTAATGAAGAA